TAATTCTATTTCATAAGGAAATTTAATGCAACTAATATTACATAATTACCCTCAATCATGTTAAAAAAGGCATTTAGATTTGTATGCATTGCGTAGTTTATGATAAGAATATTAATGGAAAGAAAAACTAAATCACTAAATCATCAAATTATATTGATTACTAGGGAAGAGTCCTACGCTGTGCATGGGAGTTGATACATGTGTTGTGAATAAGTAATTGGAGCAACAATTAACAAATTTGTAATATTCAACTGAAAAGAACATGGAACAAAGTAAAAGAGAATCGTCAATGTATAATATTCTAGATTTAGTTTTCTAAATGTATAGAACTCATTATTCATAACAAGTAAGTGCTTAAATCAGTAAATTCACTATGAAATAAAGTATGATTTTGTATAAAATCAAAAACATTAGCTCCGTTTGGATTAGCTGTTTTTGGGTTTGTTTTTCAAAAACACCACTGTAGCATTTTGAATCTGAAAAACAAGTCCGTTTGGATTAGTTGTTTTTGGGGTTGTTTTTCAAAAACTATATGAAAAACTTTTACTGTAGATTTTTTTGGATTATTTTTTGAGGTATTTTTGAAACATATTTTTGAGTATTTTTAGAATATTATAATTTTTATATTTTTATATAAATATACATTTATGCATTTATAATACATTTATATTTACAAATGTATAGATGTATATTATTATAAATGAATAAATTATAAATGAATATTATATAAATGTATAAATGTATAAATTATAAATTTTATATTTTTATACAAATATGCATTTATAATACATATATTTATATATTCATATAAAAATATATAAATGTATTATATTATATATAATACATAATATAAATATATTTATAAATGTATAAGTGTATATTATTATAAATGTATAAATTATAAATGAATATTATAAATATATTATAAATTATAAGTGTATATTATTATAAATGTATAAATTAATATATTATAAATATATATTAATATTATGTAGAAATGTATTTATATAATTAATATAAATGTATATATGTATTGATATTATGTATAAATGTAAAATTAATATTATGTATATTAATATAAATGTATAAATGTATTATATTATATATAATACATAATATAAATGTATATTTAAATGTATAAGTGTATATTATTAAAAATGTATAAATTATAAATGAATATTATATAAATGTATAAATTAATAAATTATAAATATATATTAATATTATGTAGAAATGTATTAATATAATTAATATAAATATATACATGTATTAATATTATGTATAAATGTAAAATTAATATTATGTATATTAATATAAATGTATAAATGTATTATATTATATATTATACATAATATAAATGTATATTATAAATATACATAAATATTTATATATTATGTATAAATGTACATTTATATAAATGTATAATATATTATATATTATATTATATATAATTTATATAACATATAATATTTATGTAAATATATTATAAATAAATAAAAACATATTATAAATAAAATAAAATATTTATAATATGTATGTATAAATATATAATATTAGAAATGTATAATATATATAATATACATTATTATTAATATAATTTATGTATAATATACATAATTGAAATATACATATTAATATATATTAATATATATTATAAAACAAAATTGAATAAATATATTTATAAATTTATATATAAATAAATGTATTTATATAAATATATAATATTTATTTCAATTGATATAATATATATAATATTATACATAATTGAAATAAATATATTTATATTAATATAATATATATAATATACATAATTGAAATATACATAATTGAAATATACATATTAAAATATACAAATTAAATATACATAATTGAAATATATTTTGGAGTTGTTTTTGATATATTGTTTGGATATGTGTTTTTTAAGTTGTTTTTGAAATACACATTACTGTAGCATTTGAAATGTGAAAAACAGTTTTTCAAAAACAGGTGCAAAAACACTCAATCCAAACGCAGCCATTGTTTTCTTAAAAATGAGAGAACCTAGTGCTGAAAAAAAGAGAGGAGATCAAGGCTATTAAATTGATGATATCACATTGGTATTATAATAACAATACCAAACAAAGCCCTTGCATCAAATTATTTTGGAATGAGATGAAACTTTTGAAATAGTTGTATTGACACTCTCACAAGGTGAATAATAATAAATTGAGTTCTCAAATGTACAGATTACCTATAGGTAGTTGCACACCATACCTGGAACAATATCATTAGCCAAACCAATGATTATAATAAGAAATTTAGGATGAAAACGCTTGGCTCAAATACTATGGCCTTCAAGCATTCGGAGACAATTTTTGGCTTGATCATCCCACAGCTGATTGGAGTAAGACATGAAAAAGAGATCAAAATTGTATACAAATTTAAACTGTTTAACAGATCATAAGTATATAAGGATATGAAAAACAAACCTTAATAGTGGGATTACCAGGATCCAATGATTAGTTAAACCTGCTTCCATCAAGGCTGGAACAATTAAACAAAAGAGGATTTCAAAACAAAAAAAAAAAAGATACAACCCATTGATATCTTATCATACATATATAACAATGCTAATATGGAAAAAGCAACATCAGATTTTTGAATCAAAGAACTTAAATAACAAAAGTCAAGCTTTAACAAATCTAATCAAGAAACATAAGAGGGAGGAGGGTAGCAAAATAAGCATACCTTCATGAAGGGTTGAAATGGAAACCACAAGGAAAGAAAAGAGAAAGAGGAACAACCTATGGTATTAACCATAACCAGCTGAACCAATGATGTTTTGTATTAACAACTCCCATTATTGTAGCTAGCTCAAAAATCTGCTCAACAAATGTTACAGAAGGGGAAAGTTTTGCAATTACACTTCAAAGATGCTTTCCAAGAGATTCCTCGTCTTTCATGCATTAGTCCCATCTTAAATATGCCATAATTGCTCAGTCTCATCATCCCACTCTTTGTATGAGTTCAATTGCGCATGCAGAGGTTTAGGAGAGGACAACGTCTGCAGTTACACCTCCACCATGGAGTAGTCAATTAATCATCATCTTGAAGAATTCATATATACTTAATGATGCTTTAGTTACTGAATTTAATTAGTCCCACTCTTTGTGCAAGATCAATTGATTGACTTAGCGTTTGCAATAGTTCCAAGTTCACCCAACTATCTCTCTGTCTTAACTATAGATCTAACGGATGGTTAAAAGGATAAAACTGTCACTACCGTCACATAAGTAGAATTTGAGAATGTAATCATCATCCCACCAAGGGTATGCTTGTCAGCAATGAGCATAGCATGCTTGCACTCGAAACTAGATTAGTTGTATTATGCCGAAATGTTACCTAAATTGCCCCTAAAAGGTCAGGTGAAAAACAACCAACGGTCAAACACCAACTCCTTTATATATATATATATACTATGGGGGGGGGGTGTCCGCTCATCGCGCACGTGTTTGGTGCCTGTAGTTAGAGAGAATTTTTCATTGAACAAATAATAGTACATTCCAGAAAGAAATAGTTATTAAATATGATAAAACTAATAATAGTACATTCTAATTGCAACACACACTTGTATATTTTGTTTTATCAATACTTTTATAATTTATCATTCCCAAAAGACCCTTACAGATGTCAGTTAAAAATCGCTCAACTCAGAACTAAGTTGTTTTAGACAAAAGAATTGAATCCATCAACTAGAAGGTTTGATAGCAACATGTTAATCAAAAGACATAAGATGTCAGTTATAGCAACGTATTAATTGTACAGCATGTTAATATGTTTTTGTGTTAATTGCACAGCAAAAGCCATACTTCAATTAAATGTGTTTATAACACTATTTCAGTAATTATACTAACACATAAGTTTATGTGAGTTGTACTCGATACAAAAACGGTTGCAAAATAATTTCTTATTTCAGAAATACCCAGATGTCTCCATAAATCAAAACTTTAAATGTACCAAAATGAGGACATCTCGGTAAATATACCTATATATGCTGTTCTCAGTTGTACCAAAAGTTTTAAAAAAATTACGCAATATTTTACATTTCCAAAAAGTTCCTATCCATGTGGCTGAAATTCAAATTTTTTTTGACCACAACTTATTCTTATATAGTATAAGGATATAGGATAATGGTGGTTTTAAAATGGATTAATCTTTCCTACACTGACAGTGTATACACTATCAGCATTGGATGAATGACAACTATGCAAAATTTGAAATTGAAATTCAATTTTTGTACATATGTCATGAATCCAACGATGATAGTGTATACACCGTCAGTGTAGGAAAGATTTACTCTTTTAATATAGTATAGATATAGATCGATAGATAGTGTACTGCAAAAAAAAAAAAAAAAATCTTTCTTCCATTATGTGTGTTGTGAAAGGTTTGGTTACATCTTCAAAAAAAGAACCAAAAAAAAAAAAAAAGGTTTGCTTACACAGCTCAGCTCGCATAGGAACTTGTTAGGCATGAATCCAAAGTCGATTCTAACCTATACTTTTCGACCTAATTCATTTCACCTGATCAACAACAAAAATCACGCCATTCTTGTCTACAAATCACCATATCAATTCTTCATTACAACCATAACACTTTTCCTATTATCTTTCTCTACACGAGAAATTAAACTTAAATTATTTAGCCATCCCTCTCAAATACATTTGACCCCAATAAAAATGAAATTCATCTAAACACACGGGAGGATAGATAGTTAACATCAATCAGGTCAATTTAGGAGATCATAATCAAAAGATGTAAATCCATGAAATAGATTAGGGAGGGGGCGGTTATATATATATATATATATATATATATATATATATATAATGGTTTTCGTTCAATTGTGAAAGGTTTTGGTAAGAGTCTTAATTAAAATTCTTTTGGCAAGTTCAGTGTCAGGAAGCTAAATGCATTGAACATTCAAGAAGGCAGCCCGGCCTAAGCTTGCAAATGTCAAGTCTAACATAAACTTGTGAACCATTCTCATTCCAAGCCCAGCTTGAACTAGACCAAAACTAAAGCAAATCTAAAGTTGCCTAATCCAGGATTAAATTGTTATTACAAATAAACTACTGCACTTTGGCAGAAATTAAGTTTTTGGCATAAGTTAATCCAACATCTAAATCCATCAGAAGTGGACTGCAGTCTGCTTAGAACATAACTCAGCTCTGGTATCCTCCCTCCGGTATTAGCTAAACATTAATTAGTGAAATAAAAAGTCATGGAACAACTCAGAACTGAATCCATCAACTAGAAACTTAATTGCATAATGCCTAACAGGATCACTTGTTGCTTCAAATTCTGACCATTATGTATCTTGTTGGCGAAGAATTTGGACTTCAATGTAAAGGCCTCCACCAACTTTTCTCTTAAATTCACAGATGCAAATGTCATCAAATCCAACAATGTTGACCCTGCAGAGACTGCTCCATCCACCATGGTACCAAAATCTGCCATCCTTCCAATGGTTACGAGTTGAAGTCCACTCCCTGCCTTGTTGGTCGACAAGGATGATCTCTTGTGGCAGCTTAAGATTGTGATCTCTCAGAATATCATGAGGAACATACTGCATTTGATGGTCAGCAAAGTTTGTTCAAATTGATAAATAATACTAGGAATTCTTTTGATGTGCTTGAAATGAAGTAGGTCAATGATTGGACAGAATGGATAAATACAGACATACCAATGCATCTTGTCTCCTTGCCCTTTTTTGTGTAACAAAATAAGGATTCTTCGGCTGGGAAATGCATCCAGACTTGAAAAGATCGTAGCCATAAGGGTCAATAAGCCATCTTCTACGACGTTTATGACCATTGACAGCTTTAGATTCTGCATTATTAATTAAACCAATTGTCCAGCAAATGTGAAGTAGGTCAACAGGATGAATATCTGAAACTTAGTATAGTGTTAGTTTCACAACCTAGTAGGATTTAATGATCTCTTGATTGAGTTGTGAAACTGATATTACTCAGTGCTTATTGTATAATCTCTTAAGGATTCTGGGAAGATCAAAACCTTAGACACCTACCATGCTTGCCTCCTCTGATCTTTTTTCTGCCTTTGCTTGAAGACTTTGAGTCTACAGTAGCAACCTTAGAGTGAGTTTTAGCTGCTGGTTCCTCTTCCACATTACCTTCTTCTTCTTCTTTCTGGGTACTATCATCTTCCGCTTCCATCATATAATCAGAATTAGCTTCCGTTTCAATTGTATTAGAATAACACTTCCCCACCTCCTTTTCTTGTTTATCTTCATTAATTTCTCCCGCTCCTTCCTTTTTCTGTTCAATCTCGTCAGCATCCTGCTCTTTCTCTCCCTCCGTTTCAGCCCCGTTAACTTCCAAGGAATTGTTGCCTGAATTCGAAAGATCAATCTAGGGTCAACATGCCTTCTGCTACAATTTTCACCTGACAGCTTCATCTTTTGCATGATCAACTAAACCAAAGTTTTAACCAATGTGAAGAACGTAAACAAGCTTTAAGAAATGAAACATAAAACTTAGAAAAAAGATCAATTTCACAAACCTGTAGTATTTAATACAGTAGTCTCATGCTTACATTCCTTGCTTAGATAATTGAATAAATGTCACATTCACATTATTCTGTGCTTATTCAATAATCACTGAAGAATTCAGGGCAGCCCAAAGCCTTGGAAACTTACCTTGCTTGCCTCCTTTGATCTTTCTTAAGCCTTTGTAAGTAGACTTTGAGGTTCCAGGGGTAGCTGTTATGTCAGCTTTGGATGGTTGTTCCTCTTCCATATCCTTTTCTTCTTCTTCTGCTTCTTCAGTAAAATCTTCTTCCTCTTCCATTATATAATCTTGATCAGTGTCAATTTCAGTTGCATTGGAGTAACTCTCCTCCATTTCTTCTTGTTTATCTTCATGGGTTTCTTCCTCCCCTTCTTCCTCCTCTTTTTCCCGGTTATCTTCTTCCTGTTCTTCTTTTTTAACCTCATTACCTTCATCAGCTTCCTCTTCTTCCTCTCCCTCTACTTCTTTCACCTCACAAACTTCTTCCATCTGCTCCTCCTCCTCGTGCTTAAGCACTTTAAGAGCTCCAACTCCTTTCTTTTCGCAAGCACTATGGCCAAGCAATTTTACATCATAAAGACTATGGCCATCATACTGGAAAACTAAAAAATCTCCCAGCTCCACAGAATTTTCCTCAACAAATTCAGCCCAACCATCAAGGAAAAAGAAGTCATCTCCAATTCTTCCCACTCTGACAGGCCACTTATTTCCAAATCGATCCCTTAGGTATGCCCTTGGAGATAGCTTTCCTTTCATATATGATGTAAATGCTGAGGGAATTTTCTGCCAAGTTAAAAAGGCTCAATGTACTTGCAAGAATGTAAACATGCTTATAGTCCAGGAAAATGCATATATGCAACGATCATGCATCATTAGTACAGTTGCAAACACTATAATTTTTTTGTAGAACTAGTTTCTACTTAAGATGATCTTGAAACTACTAAAGAAGAAACAAAATAATTAGATCATCAGAAGATATAAAAATCAAACTCTAAAGAACGAAGCAGATTGTTTGTTAGCTGTAAGAACAAGTAAATGATTGAACAATGGATCTGATGATTTACAACTAGTTTTTGATCAAGAAAATCGATAACAGTCTCATATCAACTTATCAAATATCCATCACTACTAGTTATTCGATTTCTTGACCCGCCTAACCCCCATGCCAACCCCCAAAAATTCTCTACTTCCCTTGTCTTTGGTAAAAGGAGGCATTGTGCAAATTTGGACTTTGTTTGTGTTAAAATCATCAGGAATTAAGGAGCCTATTTTAGGCAAATTTCAAATGCACAAAGCCTTAAATTCTAGTGGTCTAGGAACATATACCATCAAATTGACAAAAAAAAAAAAAAATCCTAGTGGTCTTTTATCAAGAACTTCATTCTGGGCTGGGTGGATTTTAGGCATTGAAGACAACCCAACAAAAACAAAAAATAAAAAACAAAAAACAAAAACAAGCCGCCCTACCAAATAAAAACAAATTGGGCTGCCTCAAATTTGTTAGATCTCCAGTTTTACAGAAATATAAATTAGAAACTCAAAATCAAAAAAGGGGGCGAAGGGGGGGCGGGTGAGGGGAATCAAAGAGCTCCAGCAAGTAACTACGGAAATCATGCATCAACAATAAAACACTCGAGAATACTTTTACATTTGGCTTCTTCTTAAAATGATGTTGGAAATATAAGAAGAAATCAATTATTGGATGACCAGATCATAATCAAATTCCTAAGAACGAAAAAGTTGATGGCAAAATCCTACAGATTATGTAATCAAGAATCTATAAAAATCTCAATCTCTACACGTCAACCATGTATCATAACTAGTTATAATGATTTCCACCACCATACCCCTACTATAAATTGCTGCAGTTCACTAAGAAAATCGAAACAGAATGCAAAAGAAAAAAAATTACCATTCTTTCTTTGGAGCTATTAGGGATGAAAATTTTGAAAAAGGCCCTAAGTCTTTGATTATCATGCATCCTACTGCTCTCCATTTGTGGTTCTGCTAAAGTGAATGGAGAAACCAGTGAACAAAAATGCTAGATAACTCGATTGTTGTGTTGTTGGAAACCATTTGGTTAGCTGAACATTGTTTTAAAGATGCTCAATTGTTGACGTCTTTTGGTCCCAAGAAAAGAAATTGATGTCCATGCTTCATTGTCTTGGCTATTACTATCAATGTAAGTTTGCAAGTGAGAATGGCAGGTGGAATTTATTCTGATTGCCGTTTTCAGCTAATGTACCAAGTCAATCTAGGACTGATCACAGAATGGTCCCCTATAGATTTCACGCTATTTCTGGAAATCCTTACGTGGGTTTTTATGGGGATTTTTAGTGGTCCTGGATAACATTTCTCAAGAAAGAAATTCAGGGCAAAACTGAAAATTTGAGAGGATGAATTCCTCAAATTTCAACTGATTTTTCAATCCTTGTCTGAACAAAGACGTGCAATAATTAGCTAGTGATAACTAACTGATACTGAGAATGGCATGGGGTGGCTTGATTTTGTAAGTTGTATTTCACTATATGAATATAGGGCCTGTTTGAAACCTGAGTTTTTTGGGAGTTTGTCTAAAACTTTACTGTAGTGCACTGTAGAAGTTTTTGAAAAAATTTTGTAGAAGTTTTTGTAAAGTGAAAAACTTTTTTGTAGAAGTTTTTGAAATGTTATTGTAGACGTTTTTTGGATTATTTTTAGATGTATTTTTAAAACATATTTTTGAGTATTTTATAATTTATAATTTATAATTTTATATTTTTAAACATTTATGCATTTATAATACATTTATAAATATTTAGAAATAAATATATTTATATATTTATATAAAAATATATAAATGTATTATATTATATATAATACGTAACATACATATATTTATAAATTTATAAATGTATAATTAATATAAATGTATAAATTATAAATGAATATTATATAAATGTATAAATTATAATTTATAAATGTATATGATGATTATGTATAAATGTATTAATATAATTAATATAAATGTATAAATGTATTAATATTATGTATAAATGTATAATTAATATTTTTTATAATTTATAATTTTTATTGTTTAAATATTTATATGCATTTATGCATTTATAATACATTTATAAATATTTATAAATAAATATGTTTGTACATTTATATAAAAATATATAAATGTATTATATTATATATAATACATAATATACATATATTTGTAAATGTATAAATGTATAATTAATATAAATGTATATATTATAAATGAATATTATATAAATGTATAAATTATAATTTATAAATATATATGATGATTATGTATAAATGTATAATTAATATTGTTTATAATTTATAATTTTATTGTTTAAATATTTATATATATTTATGCATTTATAATACATTTATAAATAAATATATTTATATAGTTACATAAAAATATATAAATGTATTATATTATATATAATACATAATATAAATATATTTACAAATGTAGTAATTGTATATTATTATAAATGAATATTATATAAATATATAAATTAATATATTATAAATATATAAATATATAATATTATGTATAAATATATTAATATAATTAATATAAATATATAAATGTATTAGTATTATGTATAAATGTATAATTAATATTGTGTGTTAATATTATGTATAAATGTATTATATTATACATAATACATAATATAATTGTATATAAATATACATAAATATATATAATATGTATTATATATATTAAATATATAATATATAATATTTATATAAATGTATAATTACATATTTATATTAATATTAATTTATATGGTATATAATATTTATAAAAATATATTTTAAATAAAATAAAATATTTATAATATGTTTAAATAAATATATAAATATATAATATTATAAATATATAAATATATAATATTATAAATATATAATATTATAAATATATAACATATATAATAAATTTTTGAGGGTGAGGGACTCAAAAATTCAAATTTTTTTTTTGAGGTTATCGGAGGCGCCGGAATAGGTGACCGGCGTCGGAAGAGGTGGTGGAGGCGGTGTCTGGTGTGGTGGGTTGGGTGAGAGAGGAAGAAAAGTTTTTGAGAAATTTTTTGTGTATAGATTTTTGAAGTGTGTAGGTAAAAAACTTTAAAAAGTTTTTTGGGGTTCCTGTAGCAAAAGTTGTTAAAAAACTAGTAGCTAAAAAACTTGGTAAAAAACTAGGGTGCCAAACAGGCCCATAGATTGTCAGTATTCATACATGCAAAATCTTCCCACAGCATAAATGCTATTGTACTAAAAAGTGATTTTTTTGATAACTACGTATTACCCTTTTAGATTTTACAGAGCAATTGGTGAATTGTGGGGTTTTGATTCGTATGGGCGTTATGGAGTATAAATTTTTTAGCAGAGCAAATTTTAAGGAAAAAAAATTGTCAAAATTGATGTTTGTTGGAGATTGATTTAGCGGTTATTGTGCTGTGAAAAGGTTAATGGATTCCTTAAAGAAGGCATGGAGTTTTGAAACTTAATTTTCTTGTATTTTGTGTTGAAATGAGAATGAGAATTATTTGATAGTTTTCATTTAAATATATCTAATGCAAAAAATTTTGATAATTGAATTAAATAAAAGGAAATTATTTGATTGTTTGCTAAGATTGTCATTGCTTATGATGTGGCTAACCAAAAAAAAATAAAAAAATTACGTTGTCCTATTATGAATAAGAAAATTTGATAGTTAACTTTTTATTACTATTACATTCCTAAAGTGGTGGCATCATTACTGATAGACTCTTCATGTCACCTATTATCATGGGGGAACTGCCTATTATATTGAGTAGGATGGCCCTTGCTTCAACAAATCTATTTATATATCCTGATCGAATAATAATCTTTGGAATATTTGCATGGTATTATCCGCTGAATTCTTCCAATATATAGTGATTTTCTAATATCCCGTTATTGCGCAAGATGTTATTTAAACCTTCTATTTGACAGACAATTCTTTTTTTTTTTTTTCCTTTCTTTGGGATGAAAATGCCATAATTGCTTTTCATCTTTTCTAACGAATCTTAACTCTTTTGTGACCTTCACCATTTACTGAAAGGAAAAAAGGGTCCAGAGCCATTTAAAGGATTCACCAGTTTTGGCTAGGACCACATCACCATTATACTCCACTGCAATTATTTTCTGCACCATGTGCAAAATGAAGAGGACAATTTCTTGATTTCAATTTTTTTTTTCTTTTCGTGGGTAAGGTTGATTTCAATTTCCACTTGAAAGAATACGCCATCAATATGGCTGGAGGATAAGGGCGAAATCCATCTGTAGAAATTCTTGGGACTCAGCAATTAAACCCCACAACTCACATCACAGAGTAATACTACATGATTATTGAGCCAAAATTTGTTGCAGTGGGGAGACCAAATTATGGTTTGATCTTTTTATGTTTATGTTTTAATATTATCATGCTTTTAAGAGATATTTTTGTTATTTAATTTAATTTTATTACTTTTTATTTTTCATTTTTATTTTTATTTTTATGTCGTGGGTTGAATCTGCACTTAGCTTTCGTAAAAGTCGTGCATTGCACATCCATAGTAAAAGCCGTGAATCTGCACTTTTTATAGGATTATGTACACAATCTATTGAATACTAGTACAGGGTTATTTGTTTTCTTTTTCTTTTCAAGTATATATGAGTTAGGTTTTTTTTTTTTTTTTTTGCAGAGATTTCTGAGTTTTTGTTTTGTGAAAATGCCATTCTTTATCATCTGATCTAATGAATTATAACAATTTTATAGTCCAACTTCTTCTTATTTTGGTTGGAATAGTAAGAGGAATTATACTATATCTACATGGATTTGTTCATTGATAGGGATATAATTATACATTTTATTTGTGGTTATTTGGTCTTAATTTTGGCAGTTTAGTATGCAAAGTATTGGATTTCTGCTCATAATTAGTATTTGTGTTAATTACAGGCAATTAGTGTTGAAAGTGACAAAAGGGAGGCAAAATCCAGAAGACTCTTGCTTCTAAGGTGTGCCCATGCCAGACAACACAGAGCTGCGTGAAAAAGCCGGATCGCGGGCTCAATCCCTGGAACAACCATTCTGATTGGATGATACATTTTTACCATGCGTGAGATCATGCGTGAGATCAGGAAACCTTAAAAACAAGAAGTCTTTTGGCAACAAACAACTAAGAAAGTAAGAAAAAGGAATCCTTTTGGGAAACACAGGAGAATTGGAAACCAATTAGAATTGGAAAGCAAGTGCCGCGAAGACCTTTAAGTAGCAGAGGAAATAGAATTCGAAGAGGACTTTTGGTAACAATCTAACGGGGGAATAAAGGAAGCAAATTGTTTGAAGAAACCCACCTATTATTTCGGCTAGCAAAAAGGAAGCGGCGGCACAAACAATAAAAAGAAGACAACAATAGACTAGGGGGATTATCTTCTGTCTTGGACTTGTTTTTTTGTTTTTTTTCTCTCTTTTTCCTCTGGAACACAAGTAGTGAGTGGCGGCCGATACCTTTTACTACTTCCTCAATCAACAAAAACTCCATGAAAACTCCAAATTGCTTCATGATTATGCGGCAAGGCTAGTTTTTTTATCTAGTTGAGGAATAAATCAAGGATTGGAGCACCATAACTGTGAGATCATTTTAATTGTTTTATTTTTAATTTATATGTTCATGGGTATTTGATTATTCTCTATTTTTCCCTGAGTTATTATTGTTTAGATTTATTGGATAATTAGGCCTGTTATTCGATTGTCTAAATAATTGATAGCCAATTAGGATGTTGGCGCGTAGCCTTTAAACATCTTGATTAGTGGCAAACGAGACAACTTCACCGCCTCGCAAGCGGTCTAATTTGGATCGTGGGGATAATTAATCTAGCCTAAATAAACCCGCATGTGTGTTTGTCATCTAAAATTGGGTCTTTCTAATTTCTAATGCTGTGGCTACATTAAATCCTGTGAGCGTTTTTTGGGTTGTCTAGTCACAAGAGGGTAGTTTATGAGCGTCTCTTGACTACCATAAAATTAAGGAAAGATTGGTGGTTGGGCGCGTCGCTTGACCACTATAACCAGTTTATTCGTGAGTATATGAATTGTCCCGTGTATCTGTGATCAGTTGTGTGCTTCGGTGCCAAGATTAATTTCTTGACTAGGTTGTTTTAATTAATTGTTATTTGTGTAGTTTGGTTCCTGCTATCTTAATCAACTTTAAATTTCAGTTTTTATTCCTTTTTAATTAGTTGGTACTACTGCTAA